AGCAAAAAAATAAAAATTTATCATATCACTGTTGACCAAAATATATGAAAGATAAGTGTAATAAATCCTAATTAAAGAGTAGGTAAATATAATTTCCCTCATTTTGTTTGGTGTGTGTTCGTATTCTATTGATGTGGGTATGTATATATATATATATATAGACATACACACGCACGACTTAATGTCGTTATTTACCAACCTTAGAAGCCTTCTGGGAACGGTGACTTCATGTCTTTATCACTAGTTTAGTGTATGTAATTTTTTTATTTTTTTTATAAAGCACAATTTTTGCTTCTCTAAAAATAATAATAATTTTTTAAAATTTTCAGAATTATGAAAATATTTGAGAAATAATTAAATCAAACAGACCAAAATAGATGATGTCATAATCAGGGACGGATGTAGAAAATTAGGTTAGGGGGACAAGAATGAAAATTTTTAATAATTTCACAAGAGCAATAGCAATATTTTATTAGTATATATTATGAAAAAGGGCAAAAATAACAAGGTATATTAGTAAAAAAAAAAATTATTTATACGTCCGTCCATGGCCATAATACTAAGAAATAGGAAATGGTATGCAGATCTATCATTTTTCTATAAAAAAAGAAAAAATAAATAATAATAATAATAAATGTGAAACTAAATGCAGTGCCGGAGTCTTGGCTTGCTCAATCCTAGGAGTCCCTTCACACTTCATCCAATTATCTTTTCCAAGAGCAGAATGAATTGTATGGGCTTTTGTAGGCTAAAAATAATAATAAAAAAAAATAAAAAAAAACAGAGTTCAATGGAAACAGCAAAAATATGTAGGCCCTCATTAGGAATGGCAATTTGACCCGTCCCTGCGGTTATTCGTCTCGCCCTGCCCTGTTGTTGGCAATTTTGGGAAACCGTTTAGCTTATTTAAACGGGGATGGTTTGATATAATAAAAACTCGCGCGGGATTGATGCGGGAGCGGGGAAAGGTCGTCCCGTCCTGTCCCGGTTAGATAGATAAATTATTTAAGTACCCTATATAACAATGTTAAAGTAACAAATTAATTTAATTAGAAGGAAAGTTGCAATGATAAAAAAAAAAAAAAAAAAAAGAAAAAAAAAAAAAAAGAAAAAGAAAAAGAAAGAAAGAAGAGCAAATTTATTTCAACAATAAATAAATTATGTTCTTAAACGGGGTGGGGCGGGTACCCGCGAAAGTAAAAATGTTAAACAGTTGCAGGGATGGGTGGAAGGTCCCCCCATTTTTGCGATTTTGGGCGGGGGAGAGTACACCTGCCCAAACCCGTCCTCGTTGCCATCCCAAATCCTGATGGGCTTCAAAATGTTGTGGTTTTGTGGAGTCTGATTAGTTAATTGGTTTTTAGGAAGATTTAATTATATGGAAACTTCAAGAGTACTGAATTTTAGGGAAAATTCAGTTTCCTGTTCTGGTTTAGCTTCCTTATTAGTTTAGGGAAAGTTCAGTTTCCTGATCTGCTTTAACTTTCTTATTGGTTTTGGATTCTACAAAATGTAAGTTCTTGTAGGACAAGTTTGAGACTCTATAAATATCAACTCTAATAAGATTTTAGAGGGTGCGAAAATTAGAGATAAATTTGTGCCAATACAAGATAGAGCAATTGAGAGAGATTGAGAGAAAATTTTCTATTGTAATTCTTCATCTTTTTCATAGTGAATTTATTCGGTGTGCTACATGGACGTAACTCTAAGATTTGGGTAAACCATGTTTATCTTGTGTTCTTGTGTGTGATTTTTTTATTCTTCGTGATTGCTTGTTCATTTCTTGAACAGTGTTGTTTATTTTGTGTTTCCGCCACAACAACTGGTATCAAATCCAGTTGATTGTGCAATGCAACTCTAACACAAAACGAGGAGGACAATGAGATCCGTCATGTATCATGTCCACGATTTTAATTGTCAACAAAATGAAGATGTCTGCAGTCAAGCCCCATATCTATTGGGCTTCTTCACACTTGGGACCAATGTATGAAAGCAATGAGAAGGGATCGAAAATTGAGCTACATGCATTGCCTATTTGAGTGAACTAAAACATGTTGCCTATTTGCCTATTTGATCCATCAATCTGTGAAATTGATCTGATCCAATTCAAGTAGTGCGAATTGGTATTTTAGCCTCATAGTTCGGTTACAAACTGATAAATTAGAAATTCATAATCCACGGATTGGTTAACGGATTGGAGTCTTAAAATTCGATCCAATTCGTTCAAATTTATATTTTAAAAAGTGTGATGGGTCACACTCTCTCATCACATGCGGGACTTATGGAAGAAGTTGTATCTCATAATACTTCTATTTTAGAGTTGTGATTATTTTGGTAATTTTTTGCTAAACAAGTCTCCGATCCAATTCAAGTAGTGCGAATTGATATTTTAGTCTCATAGTTCGATTACAAATTGATAAATAAGAAATTCATAATCCATGGATTGGTTAACGGATTGGAGTCTTAAAAATCAATCCAATTCAATCAAATATATATATATATATATATATATATATATATATATATATATATATAAAAGTGTGATGGGTCGCACTCTCTTATCACATGTGGGACTTATAGAGGAAGTTATATTAGAGTTGTAATTATTTTGGTAATTTTTTTGCTAAACAAGGTGTGTGAATCTTTGTTTAAGAAGAATTGTGTTGAAGACTATAAATTAAGGTGGAGTTAGACGAATAAGCTAGAGAAGAAACATGCATTGGAATGATGAAATGAATGTGAAAATAGAGTTACGCGGGGTGCGGAAACAGTTAGTTGATTTTAATTGTGATTAACACCTTTAACGACCTAGATCTGATTATTAGATCAACTTGCTCAATTTATGATTGATTAAATTATATGATGAATTTAAACATCCATAATCACAAATATATGAAAAGTAAAGCAAGTTAGAGTTAGAGAGATTGTACCAAGATTTTAGCGAGGAAACCTCAATTGATAAAATACGTCAACTGTTTGCATGGGAAAAACCTCGTGGACTATGCAGTCCAAAGGAAACTAATCCACTATATTTGAAACAAAGTATATCGAACTTTGACTCTGGCTCACACCCTATTGCTCTACCTAACACCTACGACTGACGATTCTCTGCTTTGCGACTCCTGTCCAACATCAACTTGACCTCAAACTTACACTTGATATTTGTATAAGAGTACCAGGTAGATCAAACAGCACTCCACGAATGCTCCAACACTTTCAAAGTGTGATTGTGTTTACTTCTGTTTTTCAAGATCTGAACTCGTTTGCAGAAGAATTGAATCCTGCTGATTATTCGGAATATCTGAATCTTCAATACAGCTCCAATTCCGATGAGATAGAGAATAACACAACTAAATCACTCATGAATATATATGTGTGCTCTCAAAAATAAATTCAGAATAATCAGATTTGATTTTCTGAATTTTTGTCTCTCTAAAGGCTTTCTCAAAATATAGAATTGATTTTCCCAAAGTTATGAATAAACCAATGTATATGACAAGGTTTATATAGAGTTTTGAAAGTCTTAATCCCTCAGAAAATATGATAAATTTCGTGCATAGGACTTAGAAAGAAGTTGGAATCAAAAAGGAATCAAACAGCAAAAAGGTAACTTAAATCCAAGTGCTGCTAGGAGACCTTGAACCGGTTAAGAGGGGCTGAACCGGTTCAAGAAAGCCAATAAAGAATCCCTCGAATTCTTGAACCGGTTCAGCTCTTTTGAACCGGTTCAAGATGGACAGTCTTGAAACTTTGGCTGTTTTGTTGATGTTGAACTTGTTCGATAAATCTTGAACTAGTTCAAGATGGATAGAATATAAAAACTTGTTTCGAACCTTCTAAAACCCTTCCTAAATGTTCTCACTACTCCTCAAAATTTCTTAAAACATTGTTCACAATATCTCAGAGTGTAGTATCCCATGAACACTTGACCTTCTTCAAATTCGCATCCGATCTTCAATCTTTGAACTTTTTTAATCGAAAAATTACAACTCGATCGGACTTATTTTGACAATAAAATTAGCCAATTACAAAATATATATCTCAGAGGATAAATTATATGTAATTTTTGGAGCGAAAGACGTAGCTTCAAAAGTGACGAGTAAGTGGGTTGGTCATCTCTCTATGGTTGTACTATTCTCTTTTTTTTATACATATATATGGAAAATTCTTCTCTTCGTGTGTGTAACCTAAAGTTTGAGGTGAGGTGAACTGTATAAATATAATGTATTAAGCTTGATTGGTGTATGATTGTATTTATATAAATGATTGTTTGATGATTTTGTGATGATATGCATTGTGCTTTAAACGAAGGTGAATTTAACTTTATTCTTAGTTGAACTGAGTTAATATTCTTAACAGCTTGTATTAATGCAAATATAACTGGTATTAGTCTAATTAATTATAAGTTTGCCCTGTGAAATTTTAAATTTATTCTAGCATGAATTTAAAATTGGGAATATTCCAGAAGAAATATTTCTCATCTTTTAGACGTTGACTTCATTTATCAACCTCAGAAGGTATCATTCTGGAATTATTGGGTCTTCGTTTATTGGAGATATTAATAAATATATAATAATGGAGTGGTGGAGCAATGAGGAATCATCAGAATTATTTTCCATCTTCACTTAAAAAATTATGGACCTAAATAAATTAACCTAATGATCGGTTTGGTCCCATTAGAAACTTCCGCTTACTTGATATAAAGAACCAGAACCAGGAATTTTGTTGGAACAGAGCAACAAAATTTTAAAACTTTGTCCACTGGCGCCAACTTGAAGGTCTTCTATATATTTTGTACTCTCCTCCACCAACTTGCAATGTCGGTGGACGGCTGTACCGCCACTTAAATTTCTAAATAGAGAAATTAAGAGAGAATTTTCAGTGATCTCAAAGTCTACACATCATTTTTCTATATACAGATAAGCCCAATCATTCCAGTAGAGGAGTCTTGGCTTGCAAGGCCAAACAAAAAACAGAGTAATACATCATCACTGATTAGTATGGCAAACGAAGAGATTTATTACTCAGAGGAAGAGCAGAATGAATTGTTTGAGCGTTTGGAGTCTTTAAAGGGAAGGATCAACGGCAACAGCGAAAATATGAAGGCCCTGATGAGCTTCAAAACGAGGCGGCCAATGAGATCCGTCATGTACAGGGTCCCCGATGCCCTTCGTCAGCAAAATGAAGATGCCTATAGCCCAAGCTCTGTATCTATTGGGCCACTTCACGCTTGGGACAGACCTGTGCGGGCAATGGAGGGTCGAAAATTGAGTTACATGTGTTGCTTATTCGAGCGAACTGCAACATATGAGCTAACAGAGAGAGACTGTATGGCCGCTATGATAGACATGGAAACGGTTGTTGAGGAATGCTATGAAGAAGTTAAACCGTTTGAACATCAAAGGTTTGCTGAACTCATGCTGATTGATGGTTGTTTTATTATTGAACTTTTTTACAGGAGATGCCGCAAGGAAGAAGACCCCATTTTGGAGAACCCTTACCATTTCTCAGCCATCCAACATGACTCACTACTACTCGAGAACCAGATTCCCTTCTTTGTTCTTGAGAAACTTTTCGAACTCACCATTAAACGTATCCCGGAAAATAATAACACCCAACACTCCCTTACCCTTACTGAATGTGTCCTTTCATTCTTTGGCGACATCTTGATGGCCAAATATATATATCCGCGCGAAGATATGAATCCGTATCATATACTGCATCTTTTACACAATTGCTACCTGCCTCCTCCTGAGAATATTGCATGGGATTACCTAAAAGATGAAGATCAAGTCAAATCCAAACATTCCGCAACACAATTCAGCAATGCAGGAACCAAGTTTCAGGCAGGTGATTATGGAACAGTAATATTCGACTTGAAATTTAGTTCTGCTCCAACTTGTTTTGGTTTGATAACCAAAGGTTATTTTAAAATCACACCTTTCTACATTTATGAATTGACCGAACCATTCTTGAGAAACCTAATTGCTTTCGAGCAATGTTGCCCTTCGATTTACCATTTTTTCACATCCCATGCTTTTCTCATGAACATCCTCATCGATTCTGAAAAGGATGTTAAATTGCTTGAAGACGCGGGAATCATACATAACTATTTGGGTTCCAGTGAAACGGTGGCAATTCTCTTCAAGGATATTTGCAAAAATGTTGTTCCGCGTCGAATCATTTATGCGAAGGTATACAATCTGATGATGGAGGAGACAATTGCTTCCTGGATTAACAGGCGAACATTCTTGCGATTATTTTTTAACAATATATATGTGCGCATGACAGTCATTGGTGCCATTATCCTCAATGTCCTCACACTTTTGTCCTCCATTTACACCATGCTCTCTTACTATCACAGCTAAGTATCTGCTGCTGCTGCTGAACTTTGTGATGAAGAACTAGTATGAGTCAATAATGTCTTTAATTTGGATCCTAGTAGCAGTTCTGAGTTTGTATTGTGTTATGATTTATGTGTAATTTAAGTCTGTTTATTGTATGTGATCAATTCTCATTATCATTAGTATTTGATTCCCCAATCGTCTTTACTATATATGAAGTCAGTTTTATTACAACATGTCGATTTTTTTTTAAATCCGAACTTTTTTATTTGCACCAGCGACTATTTCATCCATTATATATGTTGACGAACAAGGTGAGATAATAATCTTTAATAAAGGACAATCTATATCCTAAATGGTTTCAGTTACTTTGGTTATAGTCTTTGATTTAAGAAACGTTATCTTTTAAAAAGAAATAGTAGGTGTCGTCTGACTTTCAGCAGTTGACTTTACTATTGAAATTTTTTGGAGCTGGCGGGAATGTAAAGTTGATTTTTTTTTTTCTTTTTTCCTAATATTGGTAGATGGAGTTCGTATTTGAGTTTATGACTACACCACGAATAAAAACCATTTAGATCAAACAATTAGATTAAGAAATAGCTGAGTATCGTTTGAAAAATTATTAGATAGTTCTAGATCATTTGATACTTGTTACTTGATAATCTAGTTGAATTCAGACCATTGCTGAGATTTATTTATAATATATTAATATATTTTTTAAAAATTATTATTTTTTCATCAAATAATGTGAATTGAATCCGTCCACCAAATATCAATACTCCAAACCATTTATTAATGCCTCACATCATTTGGAAAATGAGATTGAGCATTTTTTTTTTTTCACAATAAGATTGAAGAAGGCTCGCCCTTATTGATACGAAAGACATTTGGTTGGGCTATATCAATTCTCGTGTTTTTGTCTAGGCCTTACGGCCTCTTAGCTTTCTGTACAGTTACCAACTCACCTATACTTGATTCAACTGACTTTAATTCATTACTGAATCCCTTACTGATTATAGTAAAGACGATTGGGGAATAATTCATTTTTCTTCCCCACACATTTCTATTACTGATGCTAAATAATTCATTTTTCTTCCTCTCACACATTTCTCTGAATCCATTACTGATTATAGTATAGTTATAGACATTGTTAGAGGCATTGTTAAAAAAAAAAAAAAATCAATAATAAAAAGTTACAGAGAGACAAAGCTGTGCCTAAATTTCTTGCCAATATATATATATATATATATAGTAAGTATACAATTTCCCTGCCATACAAAAAATGTGTATTGAACTGCAATTTTCAACAACCCATTGGAACGCAAACTTTATCCCTAGGCATATGATGTCACCGCTTATGGATGCTAATGAGGATTTCAATGACATCATTCTTAGCAATTTTTTTTTTTTGGGAAAGGTTAGACAGCTTTATAGATTTACAGCCCAATTTCGATGGAGGCCCACGATAGTGAACTAGCCCAGCAAAACAGTAAAGATTACAAAGCAAGGACAAACAAAAGAATTGGACACCAGCCCCCGACCCAACAATTTAGCCGAAGACATTTTTATTCTCGGAAACCCTAGACTATTCGTATCAAAACATCCTGTGGGAATTGCAACTAGGGCTTGCGCCCCTACATGGCTCGATCTGGAGGTTCCGGTGGTGGCCGAATGAATGCCGGCAAGTCCCATTCTAATTTCATTCTTCTGGCGAGAGGAGAGTCTTTGACAGATAAGGTAAGCAATTTTTGCCGAACCAAGGCAGTTATCTCCCTGAAGACAGTCATTTGTGAAGATTTTCGTTTGTTGAAGATCCGATTGTTGCGTTCGAGCCAAATTTTGTTAATGGTGCTAGAAAGCAGAAGTTTGTTCACCGATGCACCCAAATCCCTCCTTGACCATCTAGCTGAAGCTCTGTCAACAAGTTCATTCCAAGAGGAGGGGGGAAAATGAAATTTTCCTTTGTGCTGCAGTGATGTCCATATTGGTCTCGTAAAAGAGCACGCAAAGAACATGTGGTTATGCGATTCCTCAACCAAATTGCAGAGTGAACACGTTCTGGAGCCTTGATCCATAGTAGGTAGCCTGTTCTGAACAGCGAGCCAGGGAGAAAATTTGCATCTTGGGATCGAAAAATTGTTCCAAATAAGGTGAGTACATGGTTTTTGTTGACGATGTGTTGATAACCAATCAATTGTGTGGCTGATCGAGAATGAATATGTAGGTGAAGGATACGAAGTAGTCAACAGTCATGCTTGGAGGGTCCGTACTGTGGGAAGAGCCACTGTCCCTCTTGAATAAAAGAAAATATTAATAATAATCATGTTAGAACACTTGAACATGCAATTCACCATCCTAATTAATTTAGCCCAATATTTTTAGATCTCGCCGCGAAGAGTTTGGATTTTGTGTTTTTATGGTTGACCTTTTTAGTATCTATCGCCCTACTTCCACTGATTAGTCTTGACTCTGATTTTTAAAGAGAACCTCAATTTTCTTTAATGGTTGCTCGGATTTTATTTTCTGATGTGATCATTCCACATTCTCCTCAATTTTAAATATTAAGATGGTCATCAGCATAAATGTTTGATGGAAGCATCAGAAGCGCAGAATTAGTTAAAAGAGAAACACATATAGCGTTCTATATTATTGGTATTAATATAACGAATACATAAATGATGCATCAATAGTTTGTGTTAGGTCATACAATTTATTTAGCGGACTAAAAATGACACTTCACTAAAAAGAATGCCAGAGGTTAGACTGCTTAATCATAAAATGCAGTCTTTTTATTTCTTTGTATGTGTATGTATTTTGTTTTTCAATTACAAATCACTTTAAATAAATAAGTCTTTTAATATTACAAAAAATAATTCACTTTTGGTTACATTTGTTTGAATGTAAAATATTTTTTATAAAATATTTTTTTTATTTTCTGGTATTTGATTATCCTAAAATATTTAGGAGGAAAAAAAATATAAAAACTTAACAAAAATTATTTTACTCATTAATTTTGAACAAGTTATTTTATACATCTCACCTGATAAACTCGACGTAAGCTTTTACCAAACACCAAAAAAACAAAAATAAAAAAATATTTTTCCTAAAAAAAAATTCCCAAAATAATATTTTGAAGGCACATTATAATCATCAGTTGGATACAAAAATGGTGTATTCCTAATATGGAACACCCTCACAACTTTATGATATAAGATTGAGGTAGGTTCACAGATTATGATAAGGATTAAACTTACAGATTATTATAAGGATTAAGACCTCAAAGGGTAGATAAACTTATGGAAATAGAGATAATAACTATTACCCTCTCCAATGACTCTTGAATCCTTAATGGATAAGAAAAGTAAATTTCTTTCGTGATAGAAAACTTGAATGCTTCTATAAAAAAAGTCATCATCAATCTAAAAAGGTAGGCCATAAATCATATATTTAATCATTTATTGGATATTCAATCGCCTACTAACTTGACAGTCGGAGTATACCTGACCGGCACCACGTCGGTTGTCACTTCTCTCTTATCTCGCAGGATTTTGCAGGAAACACCCCCCACCCCGGACTCCGGACCGTACAGATTTCTGCATCAACAATAACCATGCATTGTACAAGGTTTCATTAACTAAAAGCTTGTGTACAAGCATCTACAAAGTCTAAACATCCCTTCTCCTCTTTTGAGTTTGCACCCCCCGAGTCTTCATCTTCTTTTCCCCCTGGAACTTTATTCCAATAATACAAGATTGAAACGCAAATGTAGACCAATAGGTTGCCAACACAGAGAAAAGCTAACATTTTGTAATAGCGATCCAAATGGCTCGTATTTACATTGCCTCCGAACCAGATTTTGAAACTGAAGACACAGCATATGCTAATGAATTTCCCAATGCCCAATACACATTCGGTGAACGCCTGCCCGTAGCTCTTATATTCAGGTTTCTCATCAGCAACTTGACTTTTGAAAATTGTTTGGAGCCCTTCTCCGGCAAGTCCTTCCACAACTCCCAACAAACAGTACTGTGGAGTTAACCCCAAAATACTCATAGAAATAGTAGTCTCTGTGTTGTGTTCCAATCCGGCTTTCTTAACTAAATGCAACCTCCGAATCTCAACCTGCAATGCAGTGATGCAACATAATATACAACTCACCATCCCCAAACCAATTCTCACAAGCGTAAAATGATGGTGTGTTCGTCTATCGCGGAACTTTTCAATTAGTAAGTCGCACAGATAAGCAAAAATGAAGCTTGAGAAGGACTTGAACAAAAAGAAAATGTTTTCTGAAACAGTGTATCCATTCCCAATTTGATAATTCAAGTTGGTAGCTTGCTCAAGGAAGAAAGTAGTCCCGGTTGCCTCCACCAGACTGTACACAAGGAAGGTTAACCACATAGGTACCATTCTTACTAAAACTTTTTTTTCCTTATTCACTTGTGCAACCTCTCTTTTACTTTCTTCTTGCTTTCCAGACTCCGCAATAGCAGCTTTGTCTAACCATTGAAATAGAAAAAAACCAAAGCAGAACAGTACATATGCGATGGCCATGGTAATTGCTGACATCTTGAACGCATATGCCCACGAATAAGAATATTTTGAAAGCGTAAATGTAGATAAGGTAGCACCTGAAAATCGCGCCATGCGCCACCAGACTTCTACAATGGCTTCCACATCTTTTTCTTCGGGCATATCGTCTTCCTCATCCATATTTTTTTTTCCCTGCATATCTTTTTCTTCGGGCATATCATCTTCCTCGTCCATATATTTTTTTCCCTGCATATCCCCTTCCTCATCTATTTTTGTTTTTCCAGACATATTCCCTAATTCCCCATCTCTACCGCGCTTAGACTCACTCTTTTTTATCTCATCAACAAAATATTGATATAGAGGCGTATCGAGTCCTGCAGTACCCAAAGCTATTAGCAGCAGTGCCACATAGAACAGCCATGCCTCCCTACTTTCAGTTAGTTTCTGATCTCGAAGCCATAGTAGCACCAATCCCTGCATGCAAAAATGGAGGAAGCTAATTAAATGAAGGTGCCATCTTAATTAATTGCTTGTTGGAGTACTATGTGCTGCTATTCATGAAACTAGCTTGTTCAGAGTTAAGCATCCAATATTGAAATATTGAGTGCCTCTGCAATGCTAACAACCCAGAGGGGACAAAATTGAGTTTCTAAAAGAGGAAAACTTGTTTGCGCCCGTGTCGTGCAATTGATCATTCATATAATACATATGCCTGCATGTATTACACACGCTGATAAGGCTCAAATCAAATTAACACCACTACCTACCATTAAAAGTAATTCTCCTAATAGATCCAAAGAATAATGAAGAAAAAATTAGTGAGACTTACATACCCAAAAAATAAATAAATAATAATAAAAAAAGTAAAAAGGCGATTCCTATATTAATATTAATAATAAAAGCAGCAAAAATGTTGAGTACATTGAACCAAGAAGAAACTTACAATGATATAAAGAGGAGTGGTGAGCGCGACCATTCGAAAACGTCCCCGGGCATGAGATATGTAAGCAAGAACAATCACCAGAGTTGTTGATAAACCCTCTTGCATATTTAAAACCGCTGCGGCTTTTGAAAGATCTGGGCTCGCCCACTGCCTTGTCAGATAGGTTATCAACAAATTAATCACTGCATATTCTACCAAGGCACGGCTGAAAATCATACCTAGAAAAAGAAAGCACATTACAGCTAAGATTAAATGAGCAAACCAGATAGCTAGCCACCAGAAAAATAAAAATAAAAATAGAAACTCTGTTTGTAGCATATTACAATGTCCATAAAAAATAAAAATAAAATAAAAATACTGAGTAGTAGAATACCAAAGATAAACGAGGCACGCGGTGAAAAGATAATGCAGTCGCAAATCAAACGTTTCAAACCAGTCCTCCTTTGACTCAGATATGACCACCAACTCCTACCCATATTGAGTGGATCACCCTGCTGTCAAAACAAAAGCAACAACCTGCTGGTCATTTCATTACTACTAATCAATCCTTAGAACTAGAAGAACCGAACCGAGTGCTAAACAAACATAATAAAACTAGGTTAATTACTCTTATAAATAACACAGAGAAATAAAACTATAGGTTAATTCCTCTTATAAATAACAAACACAGAGAAATGAGATGAACCCAAACCTAGCACAATTTTGGTCTCTCAGCTCATGTAAACGGAGACCTAGACTACTGTCAATGTGTAAAACTCGGCAACTGTCAGTGTGTAAAACCCGGCAACGGTACTGAGATTTAAATGCATTGAAGTCAACTGAAAGTCTTAAAATAATGGAATCCAAAAATATAAACAAAATAACAAGTTTTTGTTTATTATCATATATATATATATATATACACCAGTCATTCAATTATAAGATACTTCAGTCATTCAGTGAAAAAAATAATAATAATAACAAAAGTTTTATTTATTCATTTTTTTTTTTCTTTATTTTTTTGGGAAGTGGGGAAGTCCACTCTCCTATTGCTGTGAAGGAGACTTTCAGTTTTTTTTTAGCTTAGTTTGTTTGGATGTAAAATATTTTTTTTTAAAATTATTTTTATTTTGTAGGTAAAATATTTTTTTTATTTGTACTTTTCGGTGTTTGACAAAGGTTTAGGGTAAGGTTGAGGTCGAGTCTTTCGGGCGAGACGTATAAAATTACTTACCAAAAATTGATGGATAAATTATTTTTGTAAAATTTTAATATATTTTTTCTTCGTAAATATTTTACGGCAATCAAACACCAAAAAATAAAAAATAAAAAATATTTTCTGAAAAATATTTTATATCCAAACAAACGGAGCCTTAGTTTCAATTCAATTTGTTCATTTTTTTTTAAAGTAAAGGATTTTTATGTTTTATTTTTATATATTTTAAATTTAATATAAATATAAGTCGTTTAATTATTGTGTCAATTTGACGCAGAGAAGGCAAGTATTGTTTAGAAATTAGAATATAATAGCATGCAAAGAGTAACGTTCCAATAAAAAAAGAACAGAAAGTAAACACAAAACTTAATTCATATTGGGATTCACAATAATCGAACGGAAATGATGTCCAAACGCACTTAGCACTTGGTACTTAGCACTAAGCACTTAGCCATGACGATGTTTCCAACGTTGGTGGCCAAGTTGCAAGTTAAGAAAAAGTATAATTTTCTGTTAAGATCTAGATCTATTTTTAATTAATCTCGTCTATCTTGATTCACTTCTTACTTCTTCTTCTTCTTCTTTAAATCTGGATAAGTAAATGAGATTACACATGTTGTCCCATATAATATAGGTTTGAAACCTTAACCCGTCTTTCAGGAACAGGAGAATTTAGCACTAAAATTAAAACTCCAGAGAATACACATGTTTGAAAACTTTGATGCATTTAAAGTCAAAACATTTTATGTAGACTTGATAGTTGATACATATTTCTTTATCAAAGGATACAATTTTCCCTTCTTGTATTTTTCTATGGAATTGATAAATTTTACATTATTGTAATAACCTATAAAGTACCAACATTTCTGCAGACGGGCGTACTCACTAGTACAATTTTAAATAAAAATTAAATTTTATTATTTTAAATACTTCATCAACATTTTCTGACATTCTGAGCAACATTTTTAAATATTGCTAAAACAAGTTTAACAGATAATCCTGAAAATAATATGAACAAATTCTAAAGTGTTCAATTTTATATATAATTACAAGTGAAACATAAATATGATATTTGTTCATTTAAAGCAAAAACAATATTATAACAAAGTAGAGGAATAACTGTATATATAATATAAAAATAATTATAATAATGACATAATTTCATTTTCAAAATTATTTCAAAACAACTCTTATGCTTCGTTTGGTTGGAGGGATGAAAAAATGGATGGAAGAGATAGGGGGAGGGATGAATGAGATATCCCTGAGGGAGGGAATATGTCTTTCCAATTTTGTGTTTGATTGAATGGAATGAATAGCAGAAAGGATGAATAGAGTGATATTTTTTTTCTTGTTTGATTGGAATTAGGAAAGGAAGAAAAGTTTTTATATTATTTTTACCAATACACCTTTTTATATAAAATTATAAAAGGTAAATATTTATTTCAAAATTTTTGAAAAAGTTAAAATTGCAAATTATAAATTTATAGGTAGTTATGGCTTCATCCCTCCTTGTTTCCTCCCTCTCTTCCCTTCCCTCGAACCAAATATGAAAATATTTATCCATCCCTCCTCAGGACTTCAATCCTTCCCTCCAACCAAACATAGCATTAGTATAGAAATTAGAAAATGAATTAAAATTTTATATTGCTCAATAGATATATATAAATAAAAATTTTATATTTATGTATATTTGTGTCCGCATATGCCTTGATAGCCCTGTAAATTAGTGTCTCCGATAACTTTTGAAAGGTAAAGTTTCAACTCACTACATCTATTAATCTATATAATTGTATCCATATCTTATATTTTCTTAAATTTCACTTATGTGTCATTGTCCGTGCTACACGGATTATAAGAAGTAACAGCTTTTATACACTTTACAAAAATTAAAAAAAATAATAATAATAATAACCTTTAATAGGTACTCCAATTTCCTTTTTCACTTTATGTTTTCTTCTCTAGCAGTCTAGCTCTAAATTTTTATACTCTCATAATTGTTTTTTTGGACAATACTTGAGTCCTCCCTTAAAAGAAAGAAATTTATCCTCCAGCTGAAGTGGTCGGAGGTGGTCCAATGTAATTAAAACATCTAAAAAAAATAAAAAGTGAATTAAAGGTGGGCATTAACCATTTCTTAAGGGTTGAACTATTTTTTCTTTTCTTTTCTTTTCTTTTTTTTTCTTTCTTCTAAGTCACCATTGTTTACCTTTCTTTTTGTCTTCCTCTCTCTCCATAACAAAGCAAATCTCTCTCTTCCTCTCTCAATCAAACTCTTATGTTTCGTTTGGTTGGAGGGATGGAAAAATGGATGGAAGAGATAGGAGGAGTGATTGATGAGATATCCCTAAGGAAGGGAGGGTGTCTTTCCTATTTTATATTTGGTTGAATGGAATGGATATTAGAAAAGATGAATGGAGTGATACTTTTTTCTTGTTTGGTTAGAAGAAAAGGAATAAGAGTTCTTATATTATTTTTACCAACATACCCTTTTATATAAAATTATAAAAGGTAGATATTTATTTCAAAATTTTTGAAAATGTTAAACTTGTAAATTACCAATTTATAGTTAGTTATGCCTTCTTTCTCTCCTCCCTTCCCCCCAAAAGTGGGCAGATAGAAAAACATAAAGGAATGAGGGATGAAGCATCCCTCCTTGTTTCCTCCCTCTCTTCCCTTCCCTCCAACCAAACACGAAAATATTTATTCATCCCTCCTCTCATCCATCCCCCCTCAATCCTTCCCTCCAACCGAACATAGCATTACTATTGAAGCAAAGAAAAGATGTTTTCTTGCTGACTTTCTTTAGATTTTTGAATAATCATCTTTCAGTATATCATGAAAATAAAACTTGCAATAAAAATTAAAAAAAAAAGGATTAGGACTAAAAAATGATTTGTTTTGCTGCGGAAAAAAAGAAAAAAGAAAAAAACGATTAAGGAAAAAATATAAAAATAAAAATAAAAAAACGATTTAACCATTAAGAAATGGTTAGTGTCCGTCTTTAAACTTTTTTATTTCTTAAACACGTGTTCTAATCACATTGGACAATATAAGATGGAGGATGAACCACATCCTCCTTGGGAGGACCTAAGTATTATCTTTTTTCTTTTCTTTTTTTTCTTTTCTTTTTTTTGACACTGATAGCACAAAATACGGGACTAGAAAATACCAGCTAATGAGATATTATGGCCTGCCAAAATAGATATTCGTTAAAACATTTTTTTGACGACTTTTTGCTAGACCTATCAATGGGTAAAATTTTAATCCTAATTTTTTTTTTCCGGTAATTATTTTAATCCTAATTCATTAATGATTCATATTCAATAATTTGTTAAATTAAGCCAATAATTTGTTAAATTAACCTATCAATTAAGCTAATGAAATTTGCTCAGCCACCAACAATTCATTGCCTTTTTTAAGTTGTCTTCTATCGTAGCCAAATTCATACCTCTGTTAAAGCCTATAACCATTATCCCACTTCAAATCTCTCTCCTCTTTCTCTGTTTTTTTTTCCTGTCTTTTTTGGTGTAAAAATCATATTAGCCATATACGATATTAGTTGAAAACAATAGAAAAACAAACGAAAAAAATAAAAGAAAAGAAGGGATCATTCAAGAAATTATAGATTCGCTGATATATTGAGAGAGGTAAATAAGGCAAATATAAAAGGGTATTTGTGTCTAAAAGAATTAATTTAATATGTGAGAAAATACCAATAATTTATTGCCACGTGAAGTCAGTTTTCTAATCAGTATTTAATTGTCGTCAAAAATATCATTTTCCAAATATTATTTATGATTTCCTTCCTCCTTTTGTTTTCTTATTATATTTTTATATTCTTACTTCGCAAGGAGAGAGAGTGAGGGACTGGAATACTTCTACCGTGTTACCCAGTCCACCCCTAATTTTTTTATTTTATTTTTTTCTACTCTTCATTGTTTTTTTCTTTGATAAAGAATCAAATATCTAATTACTTCTCTCTTCTTATTTTTTTAAATATATTTTAGCTCATCTTCCTCTTTCTCTCACCTTTTTATAAATTTATTTAAACTTTATAACAAAAAAGTATATCTGATTGGATATCCGATAAATTATAAAATCAAATATGGATTCACTAATACATTGGGTGATCAGATTGGATAACCAATATTTCTTATCGGATTATGTCAAATGTAATTCAATCCGATTGGTTGATCAAGTCATCGTTATTATTATTATTATTATATTTGTCAGATTAAAATTGTATTGGGTACAATTACAGTTACCTTCCCCTAGTTACTG